ATTTGGGCTTTTATAATGGCCTTTGCCGCTTCAAGAGATACTTTTCTGTCATCCTGTTTTGGGTGTGTGTGTGCACTATCCTTTGCCATGTTGTGTACTTTATTATGCACTTCATTATTTGAATGGGCAGGGATCCATTGGAAGATGAGTTGGATGTTGAAGGTAGTGGTTATTTTCCTAATGAAACTATTAATTTTAGTCAGTTTTGGTACTGGCAGATTTGATAGTAGGTTCTTTAGGAAACTTTGACAGTCTGTGAAGATAACACAATTGTATGGTATGATTGCATTATTTGAGAAAGATTCATGAATCACTTTCAGTGCAACTTTTATGGCTTCATATTCTGACTCTTTAGAGGTGGAATGTATACCACAAACGCCCGACAATTCAAGGGGCGGTGTTTTTTGGTCAAGTCTCCAATTTATGAAAATTCCGTACCCGGTGCCATTTGCACATTTGGCTCCGTCGACAAAGATGTGGTGGTAGTCTGCAGTGCTGAAAGACTGTATTATGGTTGACGCTCTGACATCGTTGTCCGGGTCACCCACACATCCATCAGGTACATCACATCGTACGAGCATGTTGATGTTTAAATCGGGCCTAGCTTTAGGAACGTCGCGTATTTTCTTCCTGTTTTGAGGTATGTTAAAGGTGCTTGTTCGTTCAAGTGCGAAGCAGTTGCTCAGGAAAGACGCCTTATTTATTCTATTATGAACGGTTTGCTGAGCCATTGAATGTAACGGGTCGTTTATGTTTAGGCGCCTGTAACGCTCGATGGTGATGAGTTGAGCTTTCTTTCTAGTTAAATGGAGTGGCTCTATTCCAGCTAATAGTTCGCCTGCCGCTATAGGTGAGCTCTTCATTGTACCTAATATAACTCTGATTGCTTTGTTTTGTATTGCATCTATGTTGTTTAGGCACGTGGTGCTCAATAAATTTTGTATGGGCAATCTGTACTCCATGATGGAGCGAACGGCGTTTAAGTATAGAGTTTTCAGTTCAGGGGCGTTTTCACCCCATTTGGTACCTGCTAATTTCTTGACTGTGTTTAGCATTTTTTCAGATCTTTGAACAACATTTTCAGCAAACTAGTGTAATTTTAATTTCTCATCTAAGATGATACCCAAATATTTTGGGTTTTTTGAATACATCAATGCCATGTTATTCAGGAATAGAGTCTTTGATTTGCTTTTGAACTTTGGGCTGAGTGTGAAAACACTGGCCACAGTCTTTTCTATATTGATCTCTATTTTCCATGATTTGGCGAAATTGGCAACATGGTTAAGGTCGTTTTGTATCATGGCGCTTACTTCATGTGCATTTTTACCAGTGGCCCAAAGTGCAGCGTCGTCTGCAAAAAGAGCTTTGTTGCAATTTATATAGTCAGGCATATCATTAATAAAGATGAGAAATAACAGGCAGCTGAGTGCTGATCCCTGCGGGAGGCCTTCTTCTATGGATTTAGATTTTGAATTTATGATGCCAATTTTGGTGNATATAGTCAGGCATATCATTAATGAAGATGAGAAATAACAGGCAGCTGAGTGCTGATCCCTGCGGGAGGCCTTCTTCTATGGATTTAGATTTTGAATTTATGATGCCAATTTTGGTGGACATGGTTCTATTGGTTAGGAAGTCCTTTATCCAGAAGTAAAGTTTGCCATTTACACCTAGTCTTAGCATTTTAACAAGAAGACCGAGTCGCCAAACCCTGTCATATGCTTGTTTAAGATCAAGAAAAACCGCCAATGTGCTTGATCTGACTTGGAAGCCATCTATGACATCTTGGGTTAGCCGTATTACTTGGTCCAAGGCATTTCTGTTCTTTCTGAAACCGCCTTGGTCTGGGTGGATGAGGTGATTAGACTCCATGTACCAGTAGAGGCGTGAGTTGACAATTCTTTCTGCCAATTTACTAACACATGATGTAATGGAAATTGGCCTGAAGCTGTTTATGTTTTCTGGCTTCTTGCCCTCTTTCAATATTGGTGTTACAATGGCATGTCGCCAACTGTTGGGGATAGTGCCATCTGCCCAAGTTCTGTTTAAAATGATAAGTAATGCGGTTTTTGATTTGATGCCTAAATTTTTGAGCATGTTGGTGCTGATGCGGTCCGCACCACATGCTGTATTTTTGTTGCTATTTTCAATAGCTCTGTCCAATTCTATCATGGTGAATGGATTATTCATTAGGCTATCTTCATCCACACACTGGGACATTTCAAGCTCTCTTTGTTTTCTTTCAATGTTGATGTTTATGCTGGATTCGTCCCATTTCTGTTTCTTGCTTACATTTGCAAAGTGTATATTGAGAGCTTCTGCTTTATCACTATCATTGACTAGTTTTTTGTTGTCAACTATCAATGGACTTGGGTTTCCTGTGGATAACTCTCCGTTTAAATCTTTTAATGTTATCCACACCTTTGTTGGGTTTTGTTTCATATCAAGGTTTGCACACATGTGCCTCCATGTATTTAATTTTAACTCCTGTGTCAGTGACTTAATTTCCTTGGTGATCTGGTTGTAGCGTTTTTTTTTGAAACTGTGACTTGTCTTTATTTTTCTTTGCATCATTTCTCTTCTTTACAAGACTTGTTAGCGACTTTGATTTAATTTTTTTGCCACCGGTTTTGTTAGTGCATTTGGGGATGCTAACACTAGCCGCATTGATAATACCATCAACCCATAGGTCATATTGCTCGTCTATTGAACCAATAAAATTTTGTAATTTACTTGTCATGATATCACTGACTTGCTTGAATTTTTTCCAATCGGCTTTGTTGTATTGCCATTTGAAACATTCGACAGGCTTATGTGTAGTCGGGACATTGGCATTTTGACATGTAATCTTTAATAATATTGGAAGGTGGTCACTTCCAATGTCTTCTATGACATCCCATTCTATTGAGTTGTGTATGTCCTCACTCACCATAGTCATATCTGGCCTCGATTTTACTTTGTTGCTGTTATGAGTGAAGGTCGCTTTGGAATAGCAACTTTGTAGTAGTTTTAAATTGGTGGAGGCGCACAGTTTTGAAACACGTCTGCCTGTTGTGTTTTCACATTTGTATCCCCACTGTCTTGACTGGGCGTTTAGGTCACCTGCAATGATGGTTCTCTTGAAATGCTTTGTGGATTCGTTCAAATCAAAAGTCATTTTGGGTGGTGAATAAATGTTAACGAAACGGAAAGATTTACCATTTTTCCATAATTTAATGTCTACCGCGTCTGTTGCAGGCGGTACACATTTTGTATCAAGTCTTTCCACAGTTAAGCCATTTCTTATGAAGGTTATAGTACCCCTGCATGTAGTTTTGCATTTACATAAGTATGGTGTGTAACCTTCAATTTTTACAGTTTTTGATTTCAGTCTTGCTTCCTGTATTAGAGCAATGTCTACGTTATGCTCATATAACAAAACAGCAAGTTTTGAATCTCTTGACCAGAGACCGTTTATATTAAGTTGCAAACAAATTAGTTGGTCGTCATCTGATTGTGTTATACAATTGTATGGCCATGTACCTTTATTCAAATCAGCGATTGCCTTTACCTTATCTACTTTTCGTCGTTTCTGGTGGACTTCACGCCAATTTCTCTGTCTCTTTCTTTTCCTACCTTCCATTTTAGCTTGCAGTTGAGAACCACTCTTCAAAGTGTCCATTATATCAAAAGAAGTATTCAATATTTGAAGAAATTGGAAAAAGCACATAGAATTTAAACAAAAAACGCTGTTGTGTTGACAAGATAACACTGTGGGCGGAAATGTATTTGTTTACATTCAATATGATTGGCGCGCTTTGTTTTGAAACAATAGCGTAATATTTGGTGTGCAACTATAATCACTCAGTATGCTTTTAAAAATATGTTTTCATGAATCCATACTTTAATTTTGACTATCCTATATGGCATTTATTTATAATGGTAACCAGCTTTTAAAAAAAAATTAAAAGAAAATACAGACCTGTTGCGGTCAATGTTTGAGCGGTCAATGAATTAGGTTTAGTGGGTCACCGGGCGGCATTTAACCCACAGCCGATAAGTTTAATAAATAATTATTATTTATTTGCCCGGGGCAGGAGTCGAACCTGCTTTAAACCTCCGCTCACATTGACTGTTAACTGTTGATAGACTCTGCTTTAGAGTCTTGGTGCTGGCACCTGGACTTGACCGACACAGCAGCTCCGAGCATTTCTGCTCATATGGCCGGTCCTCAACCCGTTTCCAAGATTCATACTTATCAGGAGTTGTTCACACCATCGCAATGGCTACTCATTGGACAATGGAGCTTACGCGTCCTGACATGTTGCCTTAATTGGTGCATTGCTACATCAATCTTATGTTTGCTTGGTTGCAGGGAGGACACTCATCGCCAATTGGTTAGGGGGTCAAGACCCCTGTTCCTTTCAGCTTTGAGTCCTTGCCCCCCGGCTATTCCTGGGGCTGTGTATTTACCTAGATGCGATGCTACCCCACTTGTTTGGTAGTCGCCTCTTGAATTTTTTGCCCCAGCTTACGCCGCCTAGGTTTGGGCACTAACTTGCTTGTCACTTCAACTGCACTTAGTTGTTCCAGCCCCTTGCTATCCTGTCTGGATTTTCCTCTCTTTCTTATTACCAGCTTAATCCAGCTTTTTTTTTTTTTTTTTTTTTTTTTTCTTTTTTTATGGGTCACCGGGCGGCATTTTACCCACTGCCGTTAAGTTTAAATTTAATATTTATTTGCCCGGGGCAGGAGTCGAACCTGCGTTAAACCTCCACTCACAGTGCCTGAATTCGAGACATCTGGCACCAAGACTTGACCGACCCCGCAGCTCCGAGCTTTCGCTCCTTTGGCCGGCACTCAACCCAGTAGCCAGGTTTCATACTCTGGTACGTAGACCCTATACATACGGGCCCCCGTCCCAGATGTAACCACTTTGGTATGTAGCCACGATCTAACTACTGCCAATTACTACATCTGGCCACCGAGGAGTGCACTCTGAAAAACCAGACACTGGGTCACAGTATTCAGAGTCGTTTCCCTTCGGCTAATCCTTAGGGATGGGAGATTGTCTAGTTGCATCAAATCCCACTCAGATTGATTTGTGCTTGTACTAATGTGCCCCGGAAAGAGTATTCCGACTAGACAGGGCGCCTAACAGACGTTTCTTTGACTTACAGCTGCCGGGCAACTCCACTCCAATAGCCACTGTCCGCTATCCTGTATGGCATTTTATTTTATAAAAACATTCACCAGCCTCCAACCAGCATATATTCTAGATTTTGGAAACATGGTTATCCTTTTATGTTTTCTACCAGCATTTCCAGCAACAAAATACAAGATTATTTAGCAATCAAGGAAAAGAGACTTTTGTATGTACGTTTGCAAAATTGGAAAACTAATAAGTTTCCAAAGTTGTCTTTAATATGCCACCATTTTTTAAAATTTTCCACTTAATAAGAAAGACATTCGCAGCCATGGTACACAGACACAGCTCCAGACATTTTACAAAACTATCCAGCAAGAACTGTACCGAGATAGTTTTGCCTGTTATACCATTCTAGGTAATTTACTCATGTCTCAAGTAAAGAGAGAAAATCATCAAATCATCCACAATACATTTCTGTTTAGACTTTGTCTTTGCCTTTGCCGTTGCCTTTTGCCTTTGCCTTTGTCTTTTACTTTGACTTTGTCTATCTAAAGTTTTGACTTTGACATTTATTTGAGTGCAGTGCCGTACACTTTTGGGATGGATCAGACTGTCCACTCATGGGACTTTATTTAAAGGCCATTCAGCTCGAGCATTGCTGAAATGACCCTTAGGAGCGCATGGACGTTCAGCTAGCTATTCGGCAAGAGCTATACCGAGATAGATTTAGCGTGGTGCAACACATATGTAAAGTTTCTCATGGCTCATGTACCAATAAGGAAACGACTTTTCTTTGGCCTTGACCTTGGCCATGACTATATCTTTGTCCTAATCGTGCTTTGCCATTTATTTTGTATTTTACACTTTGTAATTTTGTGTAGTGCCACACACTTTTAAGTGACTGTCCACACACAACTACCGATACTTGTTTTATAGGAACCATACAGCGAGAGCAATACCGTAATGGTTGTTTGTCACTTGTACCAAGTCAACCAAGACTTTCCACACCAATGATTTTTACAGACCATTCAGTGAGAGCATTACTGAGATGGCTGTGTGTCACTTTTCAAAATAACACAAGACTAATCACCCACGATACAGTTTAACAAAACCCATTCAGTGAGAGCATTACTGAAACTGGATGTTTGTAACTGATACCAAGTCAACCAAGACTTTCCACACTCGGGACTGTTGTACAAAACCATTCAGCGAGAGCATTGCTGAAACTGGATGTTTGTAACTGATACCAAGTCAACCAAGACTTTCCACACTCGGGACTGTTGTACAAAACCATTCAGCGAGAGCATTACTGAAACTGGATGTTTGTAACTGATACCAAGTCAACCAAGACTTTCCACACTCGGGACTGTTGTACAAAACCATTCAGCGAGAGCATTACTGAAACTGGATGTTTGTAACTGATACCAAGTCAACCAAGACTTTCCACACTCGGGACTGTTTAACAAAACCATTCAGCGAGAGCATTGCTGAAATGGCTGTTTGTACGTTATACCAAGTAGACCAAGACTTGCCACACTCTGGACTATTTAACAAAACCATTCAGCGAGAGCATTACTGAGATGGCTGTTTGTCACTTATGCCAAGTAACACAAGACTATCCTCACACGATACTGTTTTACAAAGCCTTTCAGCGAGAGCATTACTGAAATGGCTGTTTGTATGTTATAACAAGTCGACCAAGACTTGCCACACTCTGGACTGTTTAACAAAACCATTCAGTGAGAGCATTACTGAAATGGATTATCTACTACATGGACGTTTTTTTAAAAACTATACAGCAAGAGCTGTACTGGTATAGTTTTCCACTCATGTCAAGCGACATTCGACTTTAAAAGTATGTCACATGACGTACGGCACATGATACACGATACACGATACACGATACACGATACACGATACACGATACACGATACACGATACACGATATGAAAGGATATGGAAATGTTTGTTACATCCTTTAGTATTCAATCTGCGGTCATCATTCATCAGACTTCAGACTAGAAAGTTTCTTTACAAAGTAAATGCGACGTCACATACTTTAAGGCGCTACTCGTTTAAAGCGTAGTTGAAAAAATTGGCTGTCATACGTAATTGTTCTTCTGTTCCGTATAATACTGGTCCAGCTTGGTTTTGCATGAATAATTCCCTGGCTTCAAATAAGTGTGGACACACCGACAGGTGTTCAATTGTTTCTGTATCCCTTTCGCAGTGCCTGCAGAGGCTTGTGCCCATCTTCCCCATCAAATGCAAATATGAATTGGTTGGGCAGTGACCGGTCCTTAACTTGGAGATGATGGTCTGTTCCATCCTCTTTAGGCGCCACCATGCGTCTGATGATGCTGATGCTGGCTCTTTCAATGCGTTCCACACCTTTCTCCCGGTGGTCTCATCTGCCCATTGTTTTGTCCATTCATTTTTATTTGGGCTTTTATAATGGCCTTTGCCGCTTCAAGAGATACTTTTCTGTCATCCTGTTTTGGGTGTGTGTGTGCACTATCCTTTGCCATGTTGTGTACTTTATTATGCACTTCATTATTTGAATGGGCAGGGATCCATTGGAAGATGAGTTGGATGTTGAAGGTAGTGGTTATTTTCCTAATGAAACTATTAATTTTAGTCAGTTTTGGTACTGGCAGATTTGATAGTAGGTTCTTTAGGAAACTTTGACAGTCTGTGAAGATAACACAATTGTATGGTATGATTGCATTATTTGAGAAAGATTCATGAATCACTTTCAGTGCAACTTTTATGGCTTCATATTCTGACTCTTTAGAGGTGGAATGTATACCACAAACGCCCGACAATTCAAGGGGCGGTGTTTTTTGGTCAAGTCTCCAATTTATGAAAATTCCGTACCCGGTGCCATTTGCACATTTGGCTCCGTCGACAAAGATGTGGTGGTAGTCTGCAGTGCTGAAAGACTGTATTATGGTTGACGCTCTGACATCGTTGTCCGGGTCACCCACACATCCATCAGGTACATCACATCGTACGAGCATGTTGATGTTTAAATCGGGCCTAGCTTTAGGAACGTCGCGTATTTTCTTCCTGTTTTGAGGTATGTTAAAGGTGCTTGTTCGTTCAAGTGCGAAGCAGTTGCTCAGGAAAGACGCCTTATTTATTCTATTATGAACGGTTTGCTGAGCCATTGAATGTAACGGGTCGTTTATGTTTAGGCGCCTGTAACGCTCGATGGTGATGAGTTGAGCTTTCTTTCTAGTTAAATGGAGTGGCTCTATTCCAGCTAATAGTTCGCCTGCCGCTATAGGTGAGCTCTTCATTGTACCTAATCGTTTATGTTTAGGCGCCTGTAACGCTCGATGGTGATGAGTTGAGCTTTCTTTCTAGTTAAATGGAGTGGCTCTATTCCAGCTAATAGTTCGCCTGCCGCTATAGGTGAGCTCTTCATTGTACCTACTATAACTCTGATTGCTTTGTTTTGTATTGTATCTATGTTGTTTAGGCACGTGGTGCTCAATAAATTTTGTATGGGCAAACTGTACTCCATGATGGAGCGAACGGCGTTTAAGTATAGAGTTTTCAGTTCAGGGGCGTTTGCACCCCATTTGGTACCTGCTAATTTCTTGACTGTGTTTAGCATTTTTTCAGATCTTTGAACAACATTTTCAGCAAACTTGTGTAATTTTAATTTCTCATCTAAGATGATACCCAAATATTTTGGGTTTTTTTGAATACATCAATGCCATGTTATTCAGGAATAGAGTCTTTGATTTGCTTTTGAACTTTGGGCTGAGTGTGAAAACACTGGCCACAGTCTTTTCTATATTGATCTCTATTTTCCATGATTTGGCGAAATTGGCAACATGGTTAAGGTCGTTTTGTATCATGGCGCTTACTTCATGTGCATTTTTACCAGTGGCCCAAAGTGCAGCGTCGTCTGCAAAAAGAGCTTTGTTGCAATTTATATAGTCAGGCATATCATTAATGAAGATGAGAAATAACAGGCAGCTGAGTGCTGATCCCTGCGGGAGGCCTTCTTCTATGGATTTAGATTTTGAATTTATGATGCCAATTTTGGTGGACATGGTTCGTTTGCTTAGGAAGTCCTTTATCCAGAAATAAAGTTTTCCATTCACACCTAGTCTTAGCAATTTTACTAGAAGGCCGAGTCGCCAAACCCTTTCATAGGCTTGTTTGATATCCAGAAAAACCGCCAATGTGCTTTCCCTGGCTTGGAAGCCACCTATAACATGTTGTGTGAGCCTTATGACTTGGTCTAAGGAATTTCTGTTTTTCTTGAAACCACCATGGTTAGGGGTAGATGAGCCGCTTCGACTCCATATGCCAGTAGAGGCGTGAGTTAACAATCCTTTTGGCCAATTTATTGACGCATGATGTTATTGAAATTGGCCTGAAACTAGTGATGATTTCTGGATTCTTACCTTCTTTTAAAATGGGTGTGACAATGGCATGCCGCCAACTGTTGGGGATAGTGCCATCTGCCCAACTTCTATTTAATATATTAAGTAGTAAGCTTTTGGCTTTGCTGCCTAAATGTTTCAGCATGTTGGTGCTGATGCGGTCCGCACCACATGCTGTATTTGTTTTGCAATTGTCTATAGTATTCATTATTTGGTCACACCATTTTTGTATTCTTAGGACTTTTTATAAGTTATTCAGCAAGAGCTTCGCCGAGATAACTTATTCCACCACGACAAGCTACAATCTACACTATTTATTTTCTGCAAGTGCTTTTCCAAAATAGTCGGCTAACCGTTTCAGATCTTTTAGGGGCTGAAATTTGGTGTTCTTGAATCAAATATGTTTCTTCGGATTTCAGTTAGATTTGGGCATATCTCGAGATGTTCTACAGTTTCCACTTCTCTTTTGCAGTGTCTGCAGTTTTCGTCTTCAGCTTTTCCCATTCTTTTGAGATAGGATTTCGTTGGGCAATGTTTCGTCCTGATTCGGGAAATGGTGGTTTGATCTTTCCTTCTTAGTGACCACCATGGATCAGAATTGTTGGGAGATTTTTGGTATTTCCACACGGACCTTCCTGTGTTGCAGTTTGCCCATTGTTTGATCCATTTAACTCGGTAGATGCTTTTAAGTCTTCCTTTTAGCGATTCTAGAGATGTGTGGTGCTCTGTTTGTTTTAATTTTGACCCATCTTTGGCAATCTCGTCAGCTCTGTTGTGGAGCAAGCTGTCAGAGTGTCCTGGGATCCATTGGAGGAAGATTTTAAGTTTGAAATCTCTATCTATGCTGTTTGTCCTTCGGATGATGCTCGCTATTTGTGGTCGGGGCTCATCTCTCTTCGAGTTTCTTAATATGATCTTGTTGTCAGTGAATATGACAATGTCTTTTCTTTGAGCAGGTTGGGTTCTGAAGATTTCAATTAGGTTGTCCAGAGCCATTTTTAACGCGATAGCTTCCGCTTCGTTACTTGTAGTGAAGGTTCCACATGGACCATACATCTCTAATGGTTCGCTTTGCTGATCAAGTATTATTATTGCACCATACCCAGATCCAGTTTTGTTTCTTGCCCCATCAATATAAACATGTATTTTCATGTTCATGTCCATGCTATAGGTGTTTATTATTGTTGAGGCTGATGTTGATTGTTTTGAAATTTTACTTCCTATTTTTGCATTTCCTAATCTAATATTTAGGTTTACTATTTTGTCGGGTCTTCTTGATTGTACTTCCTTAAGCCTTTTCCTTTTACCGGGTAGTTCCATCCGTGATTGAAGTCTTTTGCAGCCGCTGAGAAAAAATTCTTGTTTGATCCTTGAGTGAGTTGGTTCGTTTGCCATGGTTCTCAGAGGGTCTCCAGGTTTAAGTCTTCTTAGCCGTTCAATAAGAGTTATTTGTGCTTTTTCTCTCCTTAGGTTTAGGGGCTCCAAATTTGCTAAAATTTCCCCAGCCGCTGTTGGGGAGCTTTTCATAGTTCCACATATTAGCCTAATGGCTCGTGACTGGATGAAATCTATTTTATCTTGGCTTGTCTTACTAGTTAAGTTTTGAATCGGTGCCGTGTAGTCTATAACTGATCTAACTAAATTTATGTATAAGGCTCTCATGTCACTTGCTTGGGCTCCCCAGTATGTGCCAGCAAGTCGTTTTAATAGGGTCAGTTTATTTTCCGCTTTCGCCACTAATTCTTGAACAAACTTGTGAAGTTTCAGTTTTTTGTCTAAAGTAACACCTAGGTATTTGGGGTATTGTGCATTTGATAACTGCCTAGTGCCAAAATGCAGATCAAAGTTTTCTGTGTTTAGTTTACTGTTTAGCGTGAAGATGGTAAAAGTAGTTTTTAAGATGTTGACCGTTATCTTCCACTTCTTTGTGTAAGTTCTTATTCTGTTTAAATCTTCTTGTAGGCTGCTCTGTATTTTATTTAAATCTTGGTCTGTTTGCCAGATTGCGACGTCATCGGCAAAGAGTGCCTTTCGGCAATTTATTTCTTGTGGCATATTGTTTATAAATATCAGGAATAGAGTGCAAGCTCAGTGCCGATCCTTGTGGTAGTCCTTCCATTACTGAGATATTTTTTGACGTTTCATTCCTAAATTTGGTAGATATACTCCTATTCCTTAGGAAGTCTTTTATCCATTTATATAGTCGACCATCGATGCCCATTCTCAACATTTTTAAGAGCAGTCCCTTTCTCCACACTCTGTCGTACGCCTGCCTTTAAATCCAGTAGCACTGCCACTGAGTTTTCTTTCTTTTGGAACCCGTCATGGATACTTTGGATTAATTTGATTTCGTCTGAAGCCGCTCTGGTCCGGATGAATTAAATCCGATCCTTCCATAAACCAGTACATCCTACTGTTTATCATCCGCTCAGCTATTTTCCCGACACATGACGTAAGGGATATGGGACGATAACTGTCTGCTTCTGATGGGTTCTTGCCTTCTTTTAGAATAGGGGTTACCACAGCATGCCTCCAGCTGTTGGGTATCTCTCCTCTTTTCCAGGTTTGGTTGATTATGTCCAGTAAGTAATTTTTCATTTTAGGTCCTATGTTTTTTATCATGTTGTTAGAGATTTTGTCTGGTCCTGGTGCGGTGTTCTTTTTACATTTTGAGATTGCCCTCTGTAGTTCACTTTGTGTAAAGGGAGATGACATTATGCTTTCTTCATCTATTATTATGTTCTTTTCCCTTTCTTTCCTTTCCTTGTCCAGTAGTGTACTTGTCCTTGTCCATTTTTTCGTTTTTCCCACTGAAGCAAAGTGCTTGTTTAATACTTCCGCTCAGCCTTTGTCTTCCACGTGTGTTCTCCCTTCACTTATTATTGGGCTGGGGTTATTTATTTTGTTTTGGCCATTTAATCTTTTGACTAGTGACCAAGCCAAGCCTTTGTTGGATTTTTCCGTAGGTTTATGTTTTCGCAAAGTTTCTTCGTTTCTTCCATTGGTCTTTGTTAGTTTATTATACACTATTCTATTCAACTTTGATGTTGATGCCATTGCTCTGGCATGATTTCTTTTTTGAGAGAGTCTGGAGATTTGCAGGTTTTGGAGCTTTAAATTTGTTTTTCTCCTCATTCTGGGAATGGCTGTTATAGCGGCTTTTATAACACTGTTTGTCAAGTTTTCATACATTTGGTCAATTGTTGTTGAGGTTTTCACATTATTTTTGTATCCTTTAACGATGGTGTCTCCTGTTCTAGCAAAAAGATCCCAATCTGCTTTTGTATATTGCCATAGCAGTGGTCTGTCTTCAGCTTTTCTGTCTTCTTGTGAGTTCTCCAGTTTGATACATAATAGGATTGGGACATGGTCACTACCAATGTCACCAAGGACATTCCATGTTTTGCATTTTTCTATGTCATGTGATATTAGGGTAATATCTGGTCTGGATTCAACACCATTGCCACTATGTAAAAAAGTTGGTTTTGACTGGCAACTCTGGAGGAGTGTCAAGTTAGAAGTTTGCAATAGTTTTTTTACTTTAAGGCCGGTAGCATTTTCATTTTTGTAGCCCCATTTCTTTGACTAGGCATTAAAATCGCCAGCAATTATTGTTCTAGTGAAAAAATTTTCGTTTCATGTTAAGGTGAATGGTTAGTTTTGGGGGTGAGTAAATATTTAAGAGTTTGTATGCTTTGCCATTTTTCCAAATTTTTATGGCTATGCAATCCGAATTGGCTTTTCTTAGGTCTGATTTGAGGAGTTTTACTGTGAGGTCACCTCTAACAATAGTCATTAGGCCATTGCATTTTTGGCAGCCACACTTGAAGTGGTTGTAACCCTCGATAGTGATGTCCTTTCCTCGCAACCTCGTTTCTTGGACCAGCACTACGTCAATTTTCTCCTCATAAATGAACATTGCCAACCTAGTAACCTAGACTCTTTGGACCATATGCCATTAATATTAATTTGAAGTACCGTTAGGCGGGCAGGGTCATTGTAATTAAATAGAGATAGAGATGGGGCAGGTCGTTGGTTTTGAGTCCACTCTTTCATTTTCCTCACCTTTTTATTTACTCGCCTCTTTTTATGAATAATGCTCCAAACCTTGTTACGTTTCCTTTTTCTGCTGACATTTAAGGCACTAGTAGATATTACATCATTCATTGCTGACATGTCTGTAGTTCTGTATTTTTTTACTGTTGTTGAATTCACTTGTATATCTGCATAAGATTTACAGTTGGACTCTTTATTTACGTTTTCAATATAATTGTTTCCGTTTTTCTCAAATCATTCAGTAGTGCGATTTTTGGTGCGATGTTGTTACGCATCTTTTTAGTGCGCAAAAAGAAATGTAGAGTTTTATAGGGTTTACGCACTCTGAAAATTACCCACAATAAACTAACGTGTGCATCATTTCCCATAATGTACATATATTGAATATGTAAATGGTATATGTTCTGTTAATGAATCCATTAAGGCTTTTAACTATCCTATATCCTCCTGAGTCCAGGCGTACAGCCCACTGGACAATAGTTTTCTATGTCTTATTCTAACTTGGTAGCTAATTTTCGTTTAGATCCTCTTGTGTAGCCTGCTGGACACATTTTTACACTAGTTTCACGTACTTTTACGCCGAGATAGACAATACTTAATTTTAAGATGGCCGACAGAGGGGCAGTAGCTTCGTGTTCAGGGGGTGCTGGTAAGTTTTTTGCTATTATTTATTAGATTTAAATCAATCTAAAGATTTTAATGTTATTTTCAGACAATTATATGTCAAAGAATACGAATATAGTAGGATTTTTATTCATATATCATTATATCATAGTTTATTTCATCATTGAAAAAGGTGTTCAGTATACTGGACACAGGACTCAAATCAAAACAACAACACCGGTGAAACGGTGACAACACACATAAGAATAAAAGGCGTAGTCATAGTTCTATGAAATCGATGTCATTTTTAGCTGTGTTTAAATGGTATCATTGTTATCAAAGTAATTACTCATTTAGATACACATATCTTAGTCAGTATTTAGTTACATCTCTTATATATTCTTTAAATTTATTAATAGATTTTTAAATAAAAAAAATAATGAAAATTACGAAGTACCTAGGTTTACAGTTCACTAAACTTAGTACTAACTAATAATAATACTGTATCTCAAGTGGGAATATTTTTAATTTAGGCATTCTACAATATTAAGGCCTTATTTAGTTTGTTGAAATTTCAAGAACATCCCTGATTGTGATAATTTATTAAAAAAATATATTTATTATTATTCATTATTTTCATTATGCAACCTGATTTTTTTCTTTATTTTTTTACAGTTGTAGGCAATACTCAGAGAAAATACCACACAGAACAACAGTTATTTGTGATGTTGAACAATCGTCAGATATCAGAGAAATATCCTCATCCTCTGATGAAATCGATATAGATGACGACATGGATTACAATGAATCAAACTCTGAAAATGAATCATCTGAAGACGAAGAACCTTTGTCCAAAGACAACAAAAAAAGGTGAAAGTCACTCCCTCTGGCATAACCAATTTGATCCTGATTTGTCAGATGTTAATCTCAAAGTTAACGAATTAAGCTTACAAAAGATTCATTCACTTGCATTTGGTATGAAAGAGTTTGAAGCAGTTCCTTTTGGAAACCAAACACAAAAATGCTTTGCTAGTTGAACAGCGCACCCTGCATTTAGCTGAAGATTCTTCTCTGCTACATCTTGAAAAAGAATTTGAATCAATATCTGGATTATCAGAGAGATGGGCAACTTGTTGAATCAATATCTGGATTATCAGAGAGATGGGCAACTTGTTGAATCAATATCTGGATTATCAGAGAGATGGGCAACTTGTTGAATCAATAT